GGGGGGGGGGTGAAAGAGTAGAGAAGAGATGGGGGGACCCATGACTGGTGATACCATGATGCGTTGGCAACACTATCTTGTTCTCGGAGGGCGGCGGCAGCAGCGATATCGACTCTATGGAGGCCTGAAGAGGCGACCAGAAGGGAGTATAGCAGCGCTCCGATATAGCCTGCTGCCCAGTACCCACGTTCCCCTCACAACGGACTCATTCTTGAGTTCTTGTTCCCCTCATCATAACGAGACCAGCTGCCATAGAGGCCACTTAACTCTGCCGAGCTGACCTGTAATATTAAGCATGATTTGGTTCCACCAAGCAAGCGTGGTAACTCGTTAAAGAGCAGAGCAACCTGCTCACCTCCTCCCACAAACATGTTGAGTGAGTGGCTGATTTAATGACTAACAGAAACGTTCCTTGTATCGGAGCCAACTGATTTGAGGCAAGCAGAGAGCGGTATCCGTTTTCGTCCCTCTCTTTCGGTACATGTAATGGCGCAATTCTGTCGATCTTTCGAGGAAACAAGCGGGATTTTCGCGTGAGGAAAGATGTATCTTGAAACGAAGTCAAGGGCAAGATGGGAGTGACCTGAGTTGGTGTAGCTCTTCTGACCAGCTGTCAACTGTCTCGGCACAACAGCCAGCCCTCCGCCTAGCACTGTGGTTGATAGTGATGCATTGTGTGCCAGCACCCCTTCCACAACGATCTCTTCACGGGTGGCTGCATGTAAGGAATTTGGGCGAGAGTATTGCGCCCTTGGCATCACTGCACATCGCCGTGACTTGAGGTTCCCCCCAGAGTTATCTTGCCCACTTGCTGCGTCTAGTGGCTGTGGTCTTCCCACACCATGACGAGCAATCGCAGCCACTTTGATAGAGAGCAGTCAATGCGTTAAACTTGGAATCGATACAGCGGACATGCCAGAACATGACAGGCCAACACGATGCTGGCACGAGATATCTCTCGCATGGCTGGCAAGCAGAGCCTACCACGTTGAGACAGGAGGTAAGCAGGGACCGATGTCCACGACTGGGGGAGACGTCCTTGGTTGATCCGCCATTCAACAGTTGGTGACAAAGCCGAGGATCAAAAGCTGGGATATGGGACTGTACAAGGGCTCAATGAACTGGAAACCAGGCTCGAGCTCCAAGACAGCCCTTGTGGGTGTGGTGAACTCGTGGCAGATTAGCGAGGTGCCGCTTGCTCTCCCGATGGGTGTGTATTCTGGGACACGGGACATAGGGGTGATCGGGTTGAGATCAGATGTATCGCCCCGCTCGTAGTACTGACTAGACGCCTGGCTGGCGGCAAGAGAGTGTTCGACGACTGGAGCCAATTTGGTTCTCAGAACCATACCCAAAGGATCTGTGGTACCCTTGACGTCGTAGATAGGATTGGGGCCCAAGAGCGCGGAGAGAAAACTGTCGAGCTGACCTGACCTTTGATGGACACACCCCTGTAGACTCCCTTGTGTCTGACTGCCGCAAAAATGTTCAGTTTCAGGCGCCCAGGACGTATCTGATGAAGCATTTGCATTCTGTTTCCAGCGGGGAGTGCACTATGCATAAATCTCGTTTGAGGGCACTGACCCTCACCTGTGTGAGAAACGGCAGTGAGGGAGGTCGATCAGTGAACCAAGCAAGTACTCCTGTCCAAATCGGGATAGCCACACAGACCTTCTGTCGTCGGTCCGGGCCCTCGGGTTGATCTTGGCATAGAACCGGATGAACAAGCGCCAACAATCCACCCCATGTCTTCAGATTTCAGTTCCTGAACCACAGTATTGTCTGTGTCGGTAGAGCAGTGGCGCAAGTCATTCTTGACCAGAGTGGTGTTGATATGGTGTTGATGTGGTGTTGATGTGGTGATGTTGCCGCCGGGGAATGCGTCAAGACAGACAAGCGATTCCCAGCAAGGCATCGGTACCACTGCCGACCACAACAATCAGATGTCATTGTGTACACCACTTGTAGAGTCCTCACTGGAGGTGATGTTGTAGGTGACAAGGTAGCCGGGGCGCTGAGATAAACGGAGAGCAAAACCGCATCTTCTCCCCGATTGAAAAGACGGGAGTGAGTTTTGCTTGCGTAGGTGTTGTTTTGGGATGCAGGGGGGTGCTTGTTTTGCATGTCTGCGGAAGGAAGCCACCGAACGCCCAGCACACTGTGCCCGTGGAAAACGATGCGGATGACACGCCGTCCAGCTAGATTGCTCCCACCAGATTCCCCGCAACCGGGTCCTTCCATACGTGTGGCTTAGTGGCACTTTTCATCATGCAGATGAATCCCAAGACGGTGTGCCGCTTACACAACAAGTTATGCGATCTTATGTGTCCACATATGAAAGCCACTCAGCTTTATATACAGGAATTTGTAGTCTAATCGTCGGACGACAGACAGTTAGCAATGAAGACACGCTTTAACCGCTCAGAGCTCTGTTGGAGAACGTTACCATGACCATCTCGAAGATAACTTTTGGCGCCACCATAACTCATCAAGGAAATTATGTGGTTGGTGCCAAAAAAGAAAGGTGAAGGATCCTCGGGGAGGACAGACGCGTGAAGTTGGGACATTGCTGTGGGTTCACGGGAATTAAAAAGATCCGATCTGATGACGCCTCCTCAGCTCAAGAAAATCCATGAGTGAAGTGTGTTAAACATCAGGCCAGGCGTAGCAGCTCTGGGAAGGAATACCGCAGGATGGTAGGCAGTGGTTCACCTGAACTTTCCAGCTGTGAACTGAACACGTGAGGTTTGATGGTGGCTTGGAAGCATTGACGATATGAAGTTAGCTAGAAAAGACAATCGCATACCATGATATGAGTATTGTGTATGGTCTGTTCCAGAGGACGCGCACGAGAGAGGCACATCTCGAACAACTGTCTGACGAAGAATTGGAGATGGGAGGTTGCCTGTCAGCGGCTACAGGTCGTTCCGCAGAACGCGACCCTGGCTTGGCACCGGGTTCCTGAGCCCCACACCCCGCAATGCCAAGCTGTCAGCCAGCCACAGGATCCACCAGTGGTTCTGAGCTTCAGCCTCATCAAACGGACCAATCCCAGCCCTGCAGTCCAAACCGTCAGGCAACCAACCAACCGCGACTTCAATATCGACATTTCTGGCATGTTGTTGAGTGAGTGAAGACGACCAACCTCTTCTTCTATCTACTCTCTGGAAACGATGAGTGCCGCGTTTCTGGATAAGTTTATTCCAGCAGGATGCATTGTCCTTCAAGAAAGAATG